CATTGTTGCTACTATATGCCAGATAACACGTATCTCTATACGTATCTGTTTGACGACTAGCCTTAATCGAAAGTTCTTTCTCGTGATCGGGAGGGGTAATTAACTATAGGGGCTTGCGCCTATAGGAAACCAGAACTCAGATCATAAAGTCCTCACAAAATGAGGGCGAAATCTCTGGGTAGTGTCTTATCTACAAACCCATCTGCCTTCCAAAATTTACCTCGGAACTTAGTTCGTTAAAACTCCCTCGCCGAATAAGAAGAGCGAGCGGAGGCCGGGGCCGAATTTTCGGAGCCCACAATAGAGATAGTTGATCTTCTCTCATGGAATGATTAATTTTCAAAGAATGTTACGTCCATGGAGATATTACATTTCTTATTACTAGGACAATAAGATTTGTAATTTTGTTGATGAGAAAAAAAGCCAATAAAAATGCAGTTTATTGCTTTTGGATCAAGCTTACTCCCTTTGATGAGGAGTATGCACAAAGGCAAGTCAACTGAATAATTTGATGGATATGGAGACAAATCTCTTTGTGGGATAGGTGTGGGTGAGGGTTTAATAAGGAGTTTTGAACTTGAGGATTCTTGACAAAATATGATTAATGAGGCATATAGTGGTGAGGACAATTTCCCCTAATAATATTTTGAGATATTACTGATTGATCAAGCAACTTTCAGAAAGCGTCAGTCTTTTCTTATCGTTATTCCACTTTTTGGAGTATGTATACAATAAGTTTTTGGACCAATTCCTTATCGATGGAGCTATTCTCCAAGAATAGAGTGAAAATTTTATTTCTCGTTATCGGTTCGAAGGACTTGAATTTGGAATTAGACTTTTACGGAGTAATTTTTTTTTAAATGAAATTAGTTCCAGCCTTATATTTCATCAGAAAAACACTAGTGGTTCTAGTGTAATCATCAATAAAATATATAAATCACCTAGTACTCAAAATATTGATCATCTGAGATGGGCCCTTTATAACAGATTGTACAAAATGATGGGTGCTTTATAAGGATGACTATGATAGAAAGTTTGAGTGTGTTTCGATAATAACAACTTTCATACTCGAATACTTCGAGATTTGTGTTGAAAAAAAGAAAAAAAAAAATTGGTATATAAAATTTGGATGCTTAAGACAAATGTCACAACATGATGGTGCTTTCGTAGGAGGAAGATATATAATGAGAATTTTTCTCTTGGTTTTCACTATTCCCTTCATAGTTTAGGAGGCAAAGACCAACATATTTTTTCCCTTGCTAATCATCTTTCATGAGTCCCTATTCTGAACTTTGTAACAAGTAGGAAGACAAAAATAATGCAATTCGTTAAGGATGAAGTGATTGAAATAACTAGGCATCCACTGCCATATGATCAGATGCTGCAGAATTCACAATCCAATATTGATGATTTCCGTTTTGAACATTGAAGGCATTCAAAATCATACTTTTTTTTGCAATTACATCAATGATGCTTTTTTGCATTTGAGGCTTTGATTTGAATTCGATAATTGACAAATTGGATAATGTTTCTTAGATTATGTGTTGTCGTGAGATATTCATTCATGGCAAGAGGCGACAGCAGAGAAGTTCTTCTTTTGAAGGCCATTTTGTTTTCAGCCATGAATATGGTTCAAACAAACAATGAATCCTTGTTGTCTTCTTTGAGATAATACGATTGAGAAAGTACATATGCGTTGTATTGATACCAGAATCATATTGCTTGGAGAGGCCTAAAAATTTGAGCTTTGTGGATTCTTTAAGATTTTCAGGGCGAAGAACCAGCAGCGAAGATTGAGGATTTAGAGCAGGGAGGCCTTGCACGTCAGTAGGAAAATGCCCATGAAACTATTCCTACATGTGTACAGAGTTCTTAGCCTCGAGAAGGAACTCAATGCCTACCGGAAGTTGAAAAAGATGTCAAGATGGCCAAATCAAAAGAAAGAGCAAAGCAGCAATGTTCAACCAGTAATTGTAATCGCTTCCCTGATAGAATTAGAAAATTAAGTTTAGAGATAAATCAATTGCCTCTACGCATGGTAAGCAGGATAATTCAGCGAATTTCTAAGTTTTACGAGCATCTCACAATTTAATCCGTAGAGACAGGATACAAAATGAGCATATACATGAAAAGGTTAGAGTAGCTCCAGTGAAAGATAAGATTAGAGAGAGTCGCCTTAGATGGTTTGGTCCCATAAAACGACGGCCTTCTGATGACCCGGTTAGAAAAATAGAGGTATTAGATTTGACTTATATTAAGAAAAGTAAAGATAGACCTATAAAGACTTGATTAGAAAATATTAGAAATGATATTTCTTTATTATATTTAAACGAGAATTTGACTTTTAACAGAATAAAATGGAGAAAAAGTATTCATGTAGCCGACCCCACGTAGTGGGACAAAGACTTGATGATGTTGTTGTTGTTGTATACTCACAATTTCATTACTCCATAAATGATTGAATTTACATATACTTTTTTCTTAACCTGTAGATGCCTAAAGGTATCCCAGTTGCTACAGTTGCAATAGGAAATGCAGCAAATGCAGCTCTTCTAGCAGTTAGAATGCTGGCTACTAGAAATGATGAATTATGGGAAAGGTGAGTGTTAGAATATTGTTCATTTTGTTAAAGTCTAGTTAAGAAATGGAACTCATTGCAATTTATGCTTTCTGACAGAGTAATGAAACATCAAGAAGAATTGAAGGATACAGTTTTGAAGAAGGCAGAAAAGCTGGAACGAGAAGGATGGGAGAAGTATTTAAATCCTTGACAGAGAAGCTTTCTTAAAGCAACATGAAAGGCTGCTACATTGATGCAGTTTATGATGAGATTTCCTTCCTGATATTGGAAATTTTTTCGTTGCAGCTGAGTGGTTATTTTGGGTTGAACAATAAAAGTTTAGATATCACATAGGTTCCACAGGTTGATTTACCATTTTTCATGTATTTTTTTTCATAAGGGTGAATATTAAGCTATTAATAACCTTTTTATTTAATTTCTTGTGTATTTGTGGTCCTGTTCGATCTTGTTGTACACTTGTATCCTTTTTTAAGGTGAAATTTTGAAATAAATTCTATTGAGAAGATTTTCAAGGTTGGTTTTACAGAGGAAGTTAATGTATGTGTTTAAAAATTAATTTTCTTAAGTCTTAGAAAGTAATTTTCTCAAATTGACTGACACTAGCAGCTTGATACATTATCCAAAAGCCTTATATATTTGTTTTGGCTTTGATATAATGCACAAAACAGCAAAATTAAATACTCAGAAACTTAGGAAATGGCAGACTTCTGCATCTGAAGCAACCGAGAAGATGACTGAGCTGAAGCATTCATATAATCCTTGGCATGAGTAAGAAAAATCAACTTGATATGTATTCAATAAGTCTCTTGTCAAGCTCAAAATGCTGGCACAGAATGCTCTGCAATTAAAAAAAAAAGAAAGTCCTTTTGTTAGATCTATTGATATGTCTGGGTGATGGCAGTTTATCCCAAGAGATAAATGTAATTTTTGGCAAAACTATCAACTTTGAACCTTCTCTTTAAGATTTTGATTAAAGAACTAAGTAATGCTATATATTTGTATGGTGAAAGCATGATGAGTGCATTAATTATCCCAATATTAAATGTGGCTATTTGATTTGTTGAAAAATGAATGCAAAAAAATTTAAAATATTTGATGTCCAGTGAGTATGAAATAAATTAAGTGATTTTTTTATTTGATTTAAATAAAATGAATGTAATATAAAGCCCAATAATAATGGAGACGTTATCCATTGGCAGTGGAGTGCTAGCATTAATCACTTGATCATCAACCAAATGCATTGAAATTTACTCAAGATAATTGTGATTATAAAGGTTAAAGACTAAAGTGATTAAAGTTTGGTCTTCTCCAATTTCATCCTCACCAGACCTACCATAGTGAGTAAAATACAATGGAAAATATCTAAAACATTAAAGACAATATATCACAAATATTTTAGCTCAATATATAACAAGAAAACAACACATATCAAGTATTCAATTAATTAAACAAGAACTTAGGCTTCATTTGGGATGACTTTCTTATTGCTTCTTAGCTTTCTAATATAAAAATCAAAATTTTTTGTGCTAGGAAACTGCTTTAAGTAGTAAGAAAATCTTCCCAAACAAAACCTTAGTCTAACTCAAGTACATTGCATACATTTCATCCACATTCATTCAGAGTGCACGCTAAGAGAGGACCTAAAGAGAAGTTCTTGTGAATCATATTAATGGAAGATAACATGCGGAATAGTCTCTAAAGTTGAAAATCACATCATGATTTAAATCCAATAAATTTTAAATGGTTTTCTCAGATTGATCATCTATTTGAAGATGAAAATCAGTGTTGGAATTGAGTTTAGTTTCAATTGATTTTTGCATAGTTACCACAAGTGCAAATAAGAGATCATGACCTTAATACACAATCAAGTTGAACTATGGTGCTAATATATCGGCAAATAAGTTTTGTCAAAAACACAAAAAATGCGCTCATTGTTAATATGTCCTCTATTACCCAACCAGTATAATGGCCCTAAGACAACTAGAACAATACAACTACATATTTCATTGCAAGTCCTCCAACTTTCAAGTCAAGATGGCCGAACGGATATGACTTCATGGATTTTTTTTTGTTTATATATAGAAAATTTTTATCCATGTAATAGGTAGCTTTTGATTCAATAAAATTTCTAATTTTGGTTTTCAATCTTGTGTATCTATGGAAATGCGTTTGCTTCATACGATTTAGTGTGATAAGCAAATTCTAAGTATCTCTTTGTACTGGCTAATGCCTAGATCTTCCTCACTTTTTTTAACCCTTTTCCTCATAAAATATTTCGTTATAGAGTTCTTGATGTTGGTTAAGTTTGATAAAAGTAGAATTTTAATTGTGATATAAAAATTTAGATTGCTTGTTGTATGTCCGTATGGATAAGTCGCAGATAATGAATAAGTTCTCCCCCCAAGAGCTTGGACAAACCGCAAGCTGGCCCATAATGAGCTTCGCCCACCAGAGCAGGAAGTAACTATCTGTCACAATGAGGTTCGCATCATCGAAACTCGCCGATCGTGGAAATCAATCAAGGATGCACATATCCAAGAAAATTTAACAAGTGAACTCATCTTAGCAAGCCTTCACTCAAAGAAGCATTTGCCTTATGAGGACTCGGCTCCTTTAGCGATTCTCCATAGTCAAAGCCATATGTCTTCTATACACATCCTCCTCCAAGCTGCAGGAGACATGCATCTACAGAACGTGCATTCATGGCTCTATCAACTATTTTCATCCTCAGCTCATACCCACACTCTCTTAGAAGACTCGTCACTCATCCAGGTGATTTTGCTTCATGAACTTGCCCAAGGCACTTTCCCTTAAAGACTTGCCCAATATACTCGCCAAGGGTGTCTCAAGCCATATCAACGATAGATGACCACATGTCTAACTTTCAACTTTGTCCACATGTCTGTGCCATATTATACTTATCAAATTATGTATTATTTCTCAAATTATCTTTTATATAGCCCACTTAGTCATATAAATAAGAGGTTAAGAGGCATATTTAGGACTCCATGCTATTTTCAACTATTCACAAAGATTACTTAATTACTTGTCCACTTTTCATACTCACCGAATTATCCTTCCTGTTTTTTTTGCTCTAGCTAGCCAAATTTATTTGTAAGGTCAAGTGTTGCCCACAAACAAATTTGATCCAACACTTGCTATTATTTTTTCAAATTTCTATTTGATTTCTTAAGATTTAATCAATTACATCATTATTATTTTTATTCAATTCCAAGCATTTAATATTTACACCTAAGCTACATTTTTGGGTAATTAGTGGCCTCTGACTTCTGAATGCTAATTAATTTTGTGAAATATGCATATTTATTATATATTCTTAATTGCATCATAAACCCTGGACTCATAACCATCCTGCTAATCATTTTGTAACATAAAACAACTTAAGATAGGCTGGAAATGGGATTTTAAGAAAACATGTAAACTTGCAGGAGAAACATAACTATTTAAGGAAGAAACCTTGGTAATAGCTGGCCTGAAAGCTTTCGAGTCAATGTTGATGTCAGGGAACCGACTAACTTCCACTCCATTTTCATATAAAATATAGGTAGTATGTGGACCTGTTTTTGCGTACAGAAATAGAATCAAGGATCCAAGAAAACTACATTTGGAAGTTTCTAAGGTTTCATTTGGGACGGTTTTTTTACTGCTTCTTAAAGCAGCTTTTAGTATAAAAATTAAAATTTTTGTACTAAAATATTGCTTTAAGAAGCAATAAAAAAGACGTCCCAAATGAAACCTAAGACAACAGATAGATTTCTTGCATGCTGTGATGTAACATAATCAGAAGCTATATCACAAAAAACAGTACCAGACAAAGATATTCCAAAATTCTCTGCTGCATTTGGGAAGTGACCGAGATCTACTATCCCAAAAGAAATATTTTTATTTGAATATCTGCCAGTGAATTTAAACAATTAGTAGTTAAAATAGTTAAAAGTACTTGAATGGTATAATACAGAAAGCAAGTGATGAAGTTTTGTTTAAATATTTTTTATTATTAGCTGAAATTCTAAACATCAAGATTATGATTGAGATGTAACTTCGGATAAAATACAATATGTGGACATGATTAAAATTTTAAAAATAAATAAAAAATATTTTTTAGGGAAATGGAACTCTGCTCATGCTCAAATTTCTCTTCAAAATGGAAATTCATGATAAGGACCAACATACAAAATATATTCTCATTCAGAAAGGAAAACAACTTGTTGAGATATTAAATTTGAATTATGTTAAGAAAGGTAGAGCTTAAAAAGACTTGGTTAGAAAATATTAAAAATGATCTTTCTTTATTAGATTTAAATGAGAATTTGACTTTTAGCATGACACAATGACGAAAAAGGATTCATGTAGCCGACCCCACATAGTGGGACAAAAGCTTGTTGTTGTTGTTATTGTTGTAGTATATAAAACTTAACTCAAATTGAGGGAGCTAATGGAGAAATTTTGAAAATAGTTAACCCAAACAATTGACACAAACCTGTGGAACTTGGATCAAGTTTAACCTACAAGTTCATGGTAATTTACAGACATAATTTGCATCAATTAAGACAAAATAGGTGCTTGATGTGCATAATCAGAATGATATAAATAGGAAAACTCACATGACAGAGAGATCTGAAAATATTCGACTAGTACGAATACATGTCGAAGAACATAACACCTGAAACTCAACCTGCCAGCAAAATCAACTCTAAATATCATGAAAAATTTACTTAAACCATAGTTGATATATAATCAGACATGATCAACTCTAAAAATCATGAAAAAATTTACTTAAACCATAGAACATCTCACAATAGATTTAGACTTCGTTTGGGACGACTTTTTTACTGCTTCTTAAAGCAACTTTTTAATACAAAAAAATTAATTTTTATACTAAAAAGCTGTTTAAAAAGCAGAAAGAAAGTTGTCCCAAACTAAGTCTTAGCATCAAAACTTAAGGTTATATTATAATGCCAATTAGAAGTAGCGTTTAATATACGGGCCATCAAACAAAATCTTGATAGGTTTATCTAAAAAATTAGCAGGCATGCAACTTAAACAAATCAACTTGACAATGGCTCTAAACAACTTCAACATAACTATTATGGAGTTAAGAGTAATATTCTTACATTATACATAATCCAAAGGCATTTTAAAGAATTTTTTTAAAAGATATTCGTACATTATGCTTAGAAGTTAAAAAGAATTTTTATAAAAGATACAGATGCAGAGAATTGAATTCGCTAAGATACAACTAATAGGATCTGCTCAATAATTTTGGTGAAGTATTCATATTAAACGAAATCTATTTGGTTAAAAAAAATATAAACTTAAGGAATAATATACATTATTCATACAGAACAAAGATCAATTGCACCATCAATTCAAAAAAAAAAAAAAGTGATTAAAATGTGTTTAAATATTTTTGTAAATCTGAAATGAGTAACAAAGCATTGTTGGCCTATAGTCATTTTGTTAAAAAGTTCATTTCCTTAAATATCTTCTTAATTAATCTATAATTCTTCAAAGCTAATAGAAAAGGCCTGAAAGATATTATAGTTATCCTCAAATGAGGACTATTGCATCTTTGCTTAATATTTCTAGTAAAACATTCTGTACATTACATTACCACAAAATCTAAGGATATATTCTCATCTACTTTGAGAGGTTGAAACCTCCAATAACAGGTGTAGTGAGCGTAACTTAATTGCTTCAATATTAGCCTATAGAAATTACAAGGCGAAGAAGAAAATCCACTACTAAAAAACTTCCCAAAGATGCTCAGTTTTTCCCAATATAACCTCTCTGGATGCACGTTAACATTTTAGTGGAGCACATAAAGATTTGCTGAAGCACATCCATCCAGGATCACATCAGGCAGAGTCCAAGCTGGATTTGTCAAGATGGTTCCAATCTACTAGATGGAAGCTGAAGACCAGTTCAGCTTCCACTGAAGACCAGTTCAGCAATGTTTTTGTAGCTATTTTTTAATTTAACATTTCAAAACTTCAATTGTTTTGGAATGCAAAGGCCCTACATTGCATGTGAATCTCCTCTGTGGTTTTATTAGGGTGTAAACGAGACGAGTCAAGTTTGAGTGACCTCGGGCTTGAGCTTGAGCTTGATTAATTAATCAAATTCGAGCTCGAGCTTTATTCAACACGTTCGAGCCGACTCTCGGCTAATTTATTATGAAAGAGAAAATGATTATTATTCAAACAAGTACTATAATTAAATAATTTTAATATCTTTATACTTAAAATCCTAAATGCTAATATATTTAACTGCATTTTATATTAATATTTCTAAACAAGCTGTTTCGAGAGCTAATGAGTCGAGTCAGGGCTGCCTCAAACTTCGATCGTTAACTCATCGAGCTCACCTCACAAATCATTTAACGAGTCGAGCCGAGCTGGCATGACTCACACCCCTAGGTTTCATGATAGTAAGAAATGGACTTGGAGAACAGCTCCCTCATGTTTGTGGGTGTGGCATGACTTTGTTGCATACACCAATAGCACAACATGATCAAATGAAGCCTAAGACTCCAAAATGGACATTTAGAAACAAGTTGAATATTTTAACGTGTAAATGAAATTAACAAGCTCTTATAGCTCACGATTAGAATCATTTTTTCTCAAGCATTATCCAGAATGAATCACCAAAGCATATAGCAAACAAAAAAATCAAGAACCGTGGGTACAACTTGGCATGTGTTCATTGAGTTCAACAAATGATCCAAGAATTAGATAAAAAGTAAGCAAGATAAAAGAGCAACTAACCAGCCAGAATCTGGAGGAATTTCCTTCAGCAAACAATGTTTCCAACTGTAAAGGGGTCAAATGACTTGATTCACCTGTGGAAGACATTTAAGGTTAGAAGAAAGGGAAAAAACTTTTGTGCTATAAAATATATGTTGGTTTCACCATCATCAAAGTAATAAAAAAGCATAATTCAATGATAATTCGTAAATGATAATTCGTAAATTATCGAGACTCTTAATAGGACACGACGAAGAAAAAAGATTCATGTACCCGGCTAAATATTGTTTTTGTATTCTTCTTTATAAGAAAAAAGTCCTTTGAAAACACTTATAATATGCTAACATATTTGTGCATTAAACATTTTAAAGTTAAAATCTATAAATTTTGTTTAAAGGCCGTCAATTTGTACCTAACTAGACACCACATAAAATTGGGCATCACTCAGATCTGTTGTTCAATATAATAATAATAATCCTTATAATAATGCCAATAGATTGCTATAACTTACTACTTCAATAACAATCATACTCAAAATGTTGTAAAACTACATATATTATACTGCTTAATTAAACTACAAAGTACAAATATATAATATACCATTTTTAGCTAGCTAATCTTAGTTATAAATCAAGCTAGAAAATATATTTAAGTCCAGCATCTGTACGACTGTACAATAAGATGTAAAAGCAACTACAGTGAAACAAAAAAAAGTTGGAATATTGGCTATACCTACGCCATCATAAGGTGGTTGCTGAGCCAAAACAAAGATCACTGCAAACAGCAACAGAATAATAAGATTTCCAAAATCTCTTAAAGGTCAAAATGAAATAGCAGAGTTCCAGAGAAGTAACTAGCTGATTAAAAAAATGTTTAATATGGGTTCAAAACATCAGCATGAACTGGAAAGGCCACATACAAGAGCTGGTTGGAGGTAGCAAGACAAATCTTAACATTTAAATCACCAAAAAACTGAAACGAAATACAACTGGCGTCGAATAGAACAAATCAGAAAAAATGAGATAAGTTCAACTTCAAATGAAAGATAGCTTGCATTCGTTTTTTTTTTTTTTGCCCAATTACAGGGACCAACTCATATTTCTTTCAGTACTATTTGTAATTGTAAGCCTGTGTTTTAGGAGAAATTATTCTGTGCGGATGCCAGACGCAGCTCTACGTCTGGAGGCCAATCAGGAGCAACCACATCAGCGGTACCGAGCCGCGGTACACAACAAAGGGGTGACATGGCGCATTCTGGTTGGTCTCCAGACAATGTTCAACGTCAGCACAAAATAATTAATCATGGTTACATGGAAAGATCAATATTAAACATACCTACAAAAGCCACTAAGTAGCAAAAAGCTACATGATAGTCAATAACGAGAGTAACTGCAAAAAGGAAGACCTGTAAAAGTATAATTCAAAAGAGCATCAGCATATAAGTAAATCCGATCCAACAAACTTCATACCAATTAGAAATTCATGGACACAATTGCTTGCTTCAATGTAAAAATTATGCTTCTATAAAGCAATAATTTTCAGTCTGCGCATCATCAACGGTGTCAAAGATAAGTGAGTGAGAAATCATGCATGTACAGCATGATTCTTCAAAATATAAAAGGTTATAGGCTTACCTTAGAATAGAACAAAAAGTCAGCAATGAAAGCCTCCCAAGTTTCCTCTCTGACAAACTACACAGCATTATAGCAAAAATCAGAAGAGATGTCTATCCATAGTTGCCAGAAATCCTGCACAACTCTAAGATATCAATTAAAAGCTCCAATCAAATGTTAAGTTGAATCGCCATTAGGCTAAAATTAACTTCTTGTGGAGTTTTCTTACAAAAATATATTTTTAAGAGTGCAGGAACATTGTGAAATATCTTGTTTATATGCTTTCTTGTAATATTCAAAGGGCATTGCATGTAATGAAAAAGCAATCGAATAAAGCAGATCAAGTTTTATAGAACTAATGTTTCTTCAATGGATAAACGTAAAAAAATTATCTTTGCAGAAATTAGAAGAATGATAGCAGAAAAAAAAGAATCTTCATCCACAATCTGGTTATCTTCAATATACAACATTGATAATGGGATAATAATCATCAGGAAAAAAAGGGATAACACCAGAGAATATCCACATTGCTTGATTAATAAAATTTATATCAGCTTCCCCTCCGGTTGCCTATTTGGTTCATTTCTAGAACAACTGATCTAAGTTACTGTTTGGCTACAAAGTAGGATTTAGGCTTCGTTTGGGACAGCTTTCTTATTGCTTTTTAAAGTAGTTTTTTTAGTAAAAAAATTTAAATTTTTATACTAAAAGCTGTTTTAAGAAACAGTAAGAAAGCCGTCCAAAACGAAGACTTTTAGTAAATCCAGATTAGTAAATCTTGAAAGAGGATTAAAACATAAAATCGTTTTTATATTTATTACAGGATTTCAACTTGGCAGTGGATAAATCCTTAAATCAGTTAAATTCGGTGAATGATAGGATATAACAAATATTGAACCTAATCATCATAGGTATGAACTGAAATTTATAAAAATAGCAAGATTTAAAATCCCAAAGTTCGGATTAACAGGATTTAAACTACATGCAGCTTAAATCTTGCCTAAAATAGAATACCAAACAGCTTAGAATGCCTCGCTAAAATAGAATTTTTTTCCAAATACGATACCTTCACCGCAGACAACACTGACAAAGTAAGAACCGCTTGAATCTCCTATAAGAAGATTTATCAATCATAACCAGATCAAGCTGCAAAACCGAACTATATGAAAAAAGAAATACAGATCAGGGAGTGGAGAAACGAATACCCGACGAAGTAGATGAAGAGATAGATCCGGGGAGAAGTCTTGTACGGCAGAGCTACGTACTACGAAGTATGAGAATAACATGAGCAAATGAAAGAGGTAGAAGGGCTCAGTGACCATTAGATTCAGCCAAGGAAGTGGATGGCTGCCATTCTTGACCTCCGCCACCGGCACCGCCATCTTTGGTTTAGCCGCCGCCATCTCTTCCTCTATCAAAATTGGAGCTTTCTCCAACTCCTTAACGAAGAAATTCCTTTCTCTGCACCATTTTTATCGGTTTTTGTAAACTCTCCTTAATTAAGCCTTGATGCAACATTGATCGAATTTTTTTTAATCTGATTGAAATTTTATACTTACATTCAAATAATGATCAATTAAGATTTGAATAATGTTCGAACAAATTTTAATTTATAAGAATTATATTATTTTATCGTAATCATCTCTTCTAAAATTGATTCATTTAAGTTATTATATTATATATGTAATATGCTCATAACATGGAACTTTTATTTGGTCAGGTGACCGGACGTAGAGATACGTTCCAGTGAAAGCTGAGAACGCGCCACGTAGCATGCACAAAACCGCGGACCCGACCCGGCGAATAGTGGGTATGTCGCACGTGAGTTTTTTAAATCCATGACAACCCGGTATTGCTTGGTATTGCTAGGTATTTGTCGATTTTGCTCGGCAATAACAAGAAATACCATTATGTGAAGAGAAATACCGAGCAATACCGAGTAATACCGAGCAATATCGAGCAATACAGAGTTTTTTCTAGAGTGGTATTTCTCATTATTGCCAAGCAATACTGAGCAAATACCGAGAAATACCTAGCAATACGCGAACATAGCATTCCCGGGTTCCGGTCCCGTGTCAAGTCGTCGGGCCGCGCGGTAAAGAGTAAGAGCACGTGACGCGATCTCGGTGGTGACCGAACGTAGAGCTACGTTCGGTCACCGGACCTAATAATTGTTCCATAACGTCTAGGGTGTGATGGTGAAAATTTATATGCAATTTAAGTCCAATGATTTCCTTATGCTTAACATTGGAAGCAAAGAAAACATTTGACATTTCTTTAATTTTGCATTGATTAGTATTTGACAAATGTGATGCTAAAGTTAGGCTTTTTGTCAAAAAAAAGTTTGTCATCTCGAGTGGACCAATTCTTTATCATGCCTTGATAAGAGTTAAGTATGCAAAGTAAAGTCAAAGTGGATGGATAATGCAAAATTAAATAATAATATGGAAACAAATATTGATTGAAATATGAGAATTTATATTATTTATAGTATCCATGAAAGCTTACTTAAGACCCGAATGAGTTAGCGATGATCACTTAATAGTATAAATATTGTTGGACACAAGGGTGTGATGAGTTGCTATCATAGTTACATGTGACAGCCTTATTCACAAATAATGATTCATTTGTTGAATTTATTATTGGATTAGGTTATTGAGATAACTCGATTTTTAGTTGACTTGCATAATCTTTAAATGATGCTTTGTGAGGTCATTTCCAGCTGAACACCAAACGATCGTTTGAAGTCATCGTGAGCTCCAACCAAATGCCAGATTCAGCAATATTTTGAGCCAGGTGAACAGTGTGACGTCAAATATTTGTGTCACACTGTTCACAAATGCCATTTTATTTAGCTGGAGTTTTGTTGGAGAAAGGATATATATGGTATATATATGTTATGAAAAAGAGTTTGGCTAGAGACGAGTTACTGTATTTTGGTGTGTAAATATGAGTTTTTTGGTTGGAGATGACCTAAGATTGCATGCATCATTATGGCAACATTTATTATTAGATTAAGATCACATGCATCACTTGCATAACATTAGAGCATGTTAGAATTAGTAACATCAACTTTTTTTAAAAAAAATGGTTTTCTCTTTTTATTATAGTAAGAATATTATAACTGCTTGGATCAAATGTAATCTTTGCTATAAAAACATTAAGTATATAATGTTTGTCAATATGATGTATATATATTAGATTTAATATAATGATGTTCATCTTACAATATGTTATGTCATACATGTTGTGATATCTTTTATGTTGTGCCATAATTTCTGAATTACTTCCTTGTGTAATTGTATATGCTAAACAAATTGTTGTGTCATACTTAATGTGATAAATCTATGTCGTTTCATAGTTTCTAAATTTATATATTGCATCTTTCTTATAATCATTTGTATCATACCAGTCATGACCTCACAACGTTGTACCAACTACTACTATAGTTGTATTATTATTGTTACAGATTTTACTTGAGCCATAATCGAACATTCTTCAAATATGATTTGAACGATATTGAAACTTTATTTTTGAATAAGGTTTAAACAAATGTTTAAACACTTCTCGAATAATGTTTGAATCTCGTTCGTATCCATATCCATCACAGTGGCCTTCAAATAATTGGTTAATGGTAAAAAAACATGAATAATTTAATCTAAAATTAATTTTTGAATATATTTTCTCAATAAAATAAAAAAGAAGATCATTTCTTACATTTTCACAATCATGCTTCACATAAATTCCCCCTTCGTGCGGTGTCCGAATGGGAAGAGCCGTCCGAATTTGCTGAGTATACTCAAAATTTTTGTGAATATTTGCTTATTTGTTGAGTATTTATAAATACTCGATAAATTTTTAATAAATCCAAATGATTTTTTT